GAGGAGGTCGTACTTACATCCGATCAGCATGACGCATATGGAGAAGATCTTCTCGGAGTTGGTGTTGGGGGACACGTTTCCGAAGCCCACGCTGGTCAGGCTGCTGAAGGTGAAGTAGAGGGCGGTGACGTACTTGTCGTTGATGGTCGGCCCCGATTTCTGGTTGCTGTTGTTGTACGGCTTCATGATCTGCGTCCCCAGCGAATAGAGCCAACCGATGGAGCGGTATTCCTGGTCGTAGTGTTCCATGTGACCAATGGCGTACCAGATGCAGGCCAGCCAATGAGCAATGAGGGCGAAGGTGCACATGAGGAGGAAGAGGACGGCCGCGCCGTACTCCGAGTACCGGTCCAACTTACGGGCCACTCGCACCAGACGCAGGAGGCGGGCCGTCTTCAGCAGGCCAATCAGAGTGGTGGTCTGGAGGGATACAAAACGGGAAAATAGTGAGCCAGAGATGAGACGGACGCATCAAACCAGAGGAGGTGACAACGTCACACGTACACCCCGGAGACACTGCCCACCATGTCCACACCAGGCGGCCATTTTGTTGGTTTGATTGGCCAATGGAATGGGGAGCGTATTATATATTATTGAGAGAAGAAGACGAGGCAATGGGCACTAATTATCAACATCAATCCGGGTGACATACAGCCCAATAACATCCACAGACCGCCAGGCAGTACAGGCCGAGAAGATACCCCCCTGCTGGGTCCTTTAATGAAATCTCTGACAGGAAGTCATCTGTGTGCAGCAAAATATTGTCCCCTCCGGCCCGGAACCTAAGATTAATGGAATTCATAATGTTATTATTAGTATCCCACTGATAAGAGTCGAGTTGCTGGCTGCGTCTAATGATCACTGGAGGGCCATCAGAGGTTCATCTCCATCTAATGAAAACCACGTTATAGGGGTGGTGCAGGTCACCCCGGGGGAGGGGGGGGGAGGGGCGCAAATCCCTTTTCAATTCAGAAAAGAGAAACACAGAATTCAAGGATGAAACGCAGTTGATACAGATCGTCCTTCTGATCCTGCAGTCAGCGGCTCCTCTGATGGACTC